GACTCTCTTCTCAATGGGATAATAGAAGTTGATGTCCAAATATTTGTTTTGGATATGATATCCCACAAATATATATTTATCAGGTATATATACTCAAGTTTATCCGATTCAATGCGCTTCAAATAAACATCACAATCCCAAACTTTCATATGAGATAAGTTAGGACTATTGCATTTTTATAGCTCATATGGAGTTCTGTTAACCAACTTAGATGAGATATGATTTAGTGTACAGCACACTACAATCAGTGCATGACCTCAAAACGATTTTGGGAGATTTGCATGGCTTGTTATTAATCGCACTATATCTAATAGTTTACGATTCCTCCTTTTAGATACACCATTATGTTGCAGTATTTGTGGAAAAGTCCACTGCAAGAGAATTGCATTCTCTCTTAGATAATCTAGAATTTCATCTTTAAGATATTCCCATCTCGATCAGATCTTAATGTGAGGATATCTTTTCCTACTTGTTTCTCTACTTCTAGTTTGAATCCCTTGAACTTTTCAAGAGTTTCATGTTTGAGTTTCATCAAGTATACATAACCATTGATGAAATAAGAGAAACTTTATCTAGCATTAATTGACATGGGTCTACATACATCACTATGTATTAGACCAGTAATCATGTAGATATTTTTCACTTTCAAGTAAAAGGAGATTTGGTCATTGTGCCTAACGGGCATGATGTGCCCTTGTCAAATGATTCACAATCAATTAACTCCACTTATACGTCTCTATGTAATTTTGGAATTGCATTTTATCTACATAACCACTTTTGCAATGCCAGATTTGAATATTATTTAGATTATCACTTTTATGCCTCTTAACTTCTAACTCATTATAGAATGTTTTGTGTTTAGAATATAAATGTTATTTTGTAGCTTACCATAACCATTAAGATCTTAATTAAGATAAGCATAAACAACAATTGTTCTCAACATTAAAAAAATTCATGTCCAAACATGAAATTTACTTAATGTTCCAGTTATGGTGAGTGCTAAGTAATATTTCTCTAATTCCAATACAAAGCCTAAAGGCAATAACAAGATGTATGCTCCTACAGGCAATGCAACAACCTTTGTTCATCTTCAACATATAGGTCAACTTCTCCCTTTCGCAGTGGTTTACTTTTATTTAGTTTCTCCATATTTGTATAAATATGAGATCCACATCTGGTATCTAGTACTCGATAAAAACTCAAGAAGTAGACGTAAGCCTTGTAATATCTTCCAATGACCTTTCATTCTATAATGAAAACAATTGTCATTAGATTTGGTATTTGTCCTTCGCTTTGACCATCTTAGCCATATTGGATACTTTTCCCAAAGCCCCTTTAGACTTCCTCTTAATACCCATAGAGGAATCAATGGCTTGCCCACTACTAACTTTGATATTGGGCATAACAATTTTAAGCGTATTGAGCAACTTAATGTGTGTGCATTCAAGCTTATTCATATCATAATTCATAATTAGTTGCAAATAGCTCTTTTCGATAGAGATTGCAGAACAAAGTCAATACTTAGTTCATGGTTCATGATTGAGCTCAATTGTGACGCTTCTCAATGTCAATCACCTTCAGTACCTTAGCACTGGCTGTAGATCGCTCTATCATTTTGCATCGGTATAGTTGCTTGGAAGTCTCATATCCTTCCATACATGATTATTATCATACAACTTTTTGAAATGAAAAATCATGCGTTAGCATCTATACTCTCAAGTTGCTTTTGTAACTCAGGTGACGTAATGCAAACATCACACATGTTGCAGTACTATTGTCATCACCGTATTATTATAAGAGTCATCTCTTCCTTAATTGAGTCCCCACCAGGTGTCTCCGAAAAAGGGCTACTTAAGGACAACCAACTTTCTCATGCCCGAGAACAATTCTCAAATTGCGATGCTAATCAAGAAAATTTTGGTTTGATTGTTGGCATCCAGTATACCATTCAAATACACATGGTTACTCATAATTAAATAAATATAAATGACAAAAAGAAAAAAGAATAATATATAAAATACATCAATTAATTTAATATGAATTTTTATTAAGCCCCCGTTTGTTTCTTATTTTGGGAAGAATGAGAATGAAAAATATAATCGTTACGGGTCCCACACAAAAGATAGAAATTCAAATTTGATGGCTTGATGTGATGGATAATGGTCATATTTTTCATTTTAATGAGGAAAGAATGGGAACCAAAGAGGGGCTAAATTAATTATACTCCCACTGTTTAATTCAAATTTATGACCCCCTCACATAAATTTATGAAATCAATACTTGACTCCCAGTGGGCTGGGATCTCATCTGTTATACCAAGACCTTGAGTGTACTCAACAAATCTTAATATAACATTTGGGTAGATACTATTATTAATTATATCTCCATACAACTCCCAGATCATTAAGCTGACAACTCTTTGTCTTCACACATCTTATGTGTTAGCTTAACCTGCCTTTAAAATTTATCTCCTTGAGTATACTCAATAGAAGATAAATTTTAGTTAAGTCGGACCCATCATTTAGAAATATTAGATATTTCATAGCGTCAAACATATCCCTAATAGACCAGCCTTGAGTGTACTCAACAAGTTGAGACAATTTGGGACTCTGGTTTTTCACTATAATGATGGAAGGCGAACAATAAATTGACTAAATATTTTATTGAGGGGTTTTGAATTCAAAAGTCTCATCAACATCGATATAATCATATATATATACAATTTATTACGCATCTGACATGCAAATAAACATAATAATAGTATAATAACAGTGTGGACGATTATGGATTTTTACTAACTAGTTTTCTCGAGCTATAAGGAAAACTAGTTGGTCAATTCCTAGGGGTATAACATTGAATCAGTATCAATGCACGATCTTCATGGTCTCCTCCTCTTCTTGTTTCTTCAATTAGTCCAGCTGCAACCTATATTCTATACTAGTTGGCACATAGACCTAAATGAAATTGGACTCGCAGGCCCATAGTAATAATAACAATAATGGACTCACAGGTCCAAAATGATTAAGAGCTCGCATAATAATAATAATAATAATAATAATAATAATAATAATAATAATAATAACGGACTCGCGGGTCCAAAACAATTAAGAGCTTGCAGGCTCATAAAACAGCAATAATAAAATTTACCACTCAACACATCCACATGGTAGAGTTCATAATCGTCCACTAATAATGCATTTTTCACACAAATGTATGTCTATATAATATCTAATATTATTTGCAAACACGTTTCAAGTTTCTAGCAATTAAAGTAGTCTAAACTCTTTTAGACAAATGAATCGGAATAATTAAATAATGAATTAATCATATTAATCAATTGATTTAATTAGAGAGCATATTTAATTAAAATCAAATTTTAATCAAATATCGAATTGGAGTTCCACAATTATATGGCGAGACTATTTAATTAAAATCAATTTTTAATTAAATATCAAACTAAAGTCCCACTCTAATTTCAAAACTTAAGGCGGTCGAATTTAATCAAAATTAAATTTTAATTAAATAATAAAATTAGAGTCCAACTCTGATCTAACTCTAATGTCAAATTTTATTTAATTAATATCAAAATTTAATTAAATGTCAAATTAGAATCTAACTCTAATCTCAAGAAGATATTTAGGGCGAGATAATTTAATCAAAATCAAATTTTAATTAAATGTCAAATTACAACAATTAAGCTATTCATCCAGACTTCCAAACAGGGTAAAATACAGGGTTTTAAAATAAAGAATGACGTCAGCTAAATTTTTGGAGGGAAGGCCAAATCTTTCTTTCTAGTGGTCCTTGTCCAACCAAATTACACGTCCATTTCTAACCTATTTCTGAGACAGAGTTTCCCCAAATTTACAAAGTTCAGTACCTTGGTTTTGTGGTAGATATTCCCGTCGATTTTGCTACTTTCGGGTTTCGGCAACGTGAAAGGAAAGTCGCCCAATTTTTTCTGTAATTGTTCTTGTCTGCCGAAGCCCAACGTTTAGGAGCTTGTTGTTGTGGTCGAGTGAAGATATTATGAAGATATTCCTTTCATTTTTGCTACTTCTGATTTTGTGGTAGATATTGCCATCGATTTTGCTACTTTCGGGTTTCGGCAACGTGAAAGGAGAGCCACCCAATTTTTTTTTTAATTGTTCTTATCCGTTGAAGCCCAACGTTTAGGAGCTTGTTGTTGTGGTCGAGTAAAGATATTGGGAAGATATTCCTTTCATTTTTGCTACTTTTGGCAAGGTGGAAGGAAAGCCACACTATACGGGTGAAGATCTTCCGTTTTTGCAGATTTGAAGGTAACTTTATTCATCTTAATATGTTCTTTAATTGGAAAAAGTACCATTACATCTACTTTTATAATTTAGAGGGTTTATCTAGACTGGATGAAAATGGTGATTAACATCGAATATCCTGCTCGCTATGAATATAAATTGTTTCTTGGTAAAGCAGCCTGATACGTTAGCGTGAATGCAACTAGCGTGAATAGATTGATTAGCCTAAGGTAAAACATTAGCGTGAATGCATTTACCACATTCTTTATCTTCAGCAACTAGCACTTTTTGATTAATTATGAAAACAGTTCGTAGTTTAACAAGCATGGGTGTCCCAAAGATTTGAACCTGTAATTTATGAACATAAAATTCTTCGTATGTTAAATAGATTGATTTTCTACCGTACAATAGATAGTTGTTGTATATGTTCGCTGAACATGAATGTTGTTTTTTTTTCACAGCGTAATAAAGTATGGATTCGAATGTGCAAGACAAGCAGGACGATGTTTTAGTGCAATCTGATCATGTTGAGTTGCTGGAGTCCGTGAACGTAGTGGAAGGTGTAACATCAGGCGGAGATGGTGTAATTGTGCCCGAAGTGGGTATGTTGTTTAAAAGTGAAGTAGATATGTATGATTTCTACAAGAAATATGCTTATGCGGTGGGTTTTCCAGTTAAGCAAAGTAATTTAAAAAAAAAGGAGACGATAGAGTTGTGAGATACATGACGTTGACATGTAGTCATGAAGGTGGAATAATCAGTAATAGTAGCGGTTCTTTGAAGCCGCAACCCACAGTTAAAATGGGTTGTAGGGCTAGGATATCTGGGTCTTCCGATACTTTTGGAAATTGGAGAATTAACGCAGTAAACCTCGACCATAATCATGAAACAAGTCCTTCTAAATCTAGGTTATATCGGTGCAACAGACACTTGAGTGTACATGTGAAACGACAGCTTCAAGTGAATGATTTAGCGAGAATCCCATTGAATAAAAGTTACAACTCTGTCGTTGTAGAAGCAGATGGATATGAGAACATGACATGTATTGAAAAAGATTGTCGTAACTACATAGAACAATTAAGGTGTTTAAGACTTGGAGAAGGAGATGCTGCAGCAATTCAAACCTACTTTTCGAAAATGCAAGCACGGAGCCCTGAATTTTACTTTAGTATGGATTTGGATGACAAGTCGCGACTCAGAAATGTATTTTAGGCAGATAATCGGTGTAGGCAGGTATACAAGGAGTTCGGTGATGTCGTTACGTTTGATACCACTTACCTAACTAACAAGTATGACATGTCGTTCACCCCTTTTGTCGGAGTAAATCATCATGGATAATCAACACTGCTTGGATGTGGTTTGGTATCTAGTGAAGACACAAATACTTTTATATGGTTATTTAGGACATGGCTTCAATGCATGCACTATCATGCTCCACACGGTATAATTACCGATCAAGATAGAGCAATCTAAAATACAATTCAGGTTGTTTTTCCAAATACGAAGCACAGATGGTGTCTGTGGTACATTTTAAAGAAGTTGCCGGAGAAATTTGGCTACCATGTGGATAAAGGTTCCATATTTGGGGCTATACATGGTTTGGTATATGATTCACAGTCTACTGGGGAATTCGAAGACGGTTGGAGAACAATGATTGACACATATGAGTTGCATGATAATGATTGGTTATCTGGATTGTACGAGAATAGAGGGCGTTGGGTTCCATGCTTCTTCAAAACCACTTTCTGGGCGGGTATGTCAAATACACAAAGAAGTGAATGTATGAATGCATTCTTCGACAGTTATGTGCATTCAAAAACCTTGTTGAAGTAGTTCGTCGAACAATACGAACGTGCTCTCAGGAATAAAATTGAAAAGGAATTTCAAGCTGATTTTAAGTCATTCTCGCAGATGGTACCTTGTGCAACACAATTTGAAATGGAGCAACAATATCAATCAATTTACACCATCTCAAAATTCTGTGAAGTTCAAGCCGAATTCACGGGGAAGGTGTATTGTGACATCCAGTCCACTTCGAAAGATAGTTCCAAAGTGACGTACGAAGTACGAGACGCTATTATGTGTGAGGGCCATAGGAGGAAAAAGACGTATACCGCGTCTCATGAGAGAGATGAATGTGAAATTATTTGTAGCTATCACTTGTTCGAGTTTCGAGGAATACTTTGCAGACATGCGATCACAGTGTTGGCACTGAATGACGTCACACATATTTCGGACAAGTACAAACTGCGGAGATGGAGAAGAGATGTGAGTAGAGCACACACGAGGGTTTCCGTAAACTGCAATGGGTTGGTTAGTACTCCAGCTCAAATGAGATATGAAGAGATGTCTACTGGTTTTGCGCAGCTAGCAAACCTTGTTGCAGATGATGAAAGGCGTTCACGTGCAATAATAGAGTGGATAAAATGTCAATGCGAAGAGCTTACGTCTACAAAATCGAGTATTGGAAGTAATGTCGCAGCGCAAAACACTGTTCTGGTCCTCAATCAGTACACTGATGTGGCAAATAGTACGAGTGTTAGCATATTGGATCCGAAGTTGACTCGAAGAAAGGGAGCGCCAAAGAAACTCAGAAGAAAAAGCCCGTTGGAGACTGCATTGAAGAAAGTGAAGGTAAGCTTGATTCTTTGATTGTATTTTGCTCAGTTGTTTTGAATTAAGATCAAGAATAACTTTGTTGCACATGTAGTCCGGTTCGAAGTCAGCCACCTGTAAGAGATCAACAAAGAGCAACATTAGTATGCTTGATGGAGGATTTGACGTCCAGCTTCATCAAGCACAACTTCATGCTGACGTCGTTCCATATTTGTCCAACTCCATGTTGACGCCAAACTCCCTTCCACAATATTCCATTCCCATGCCATTCCTCCTCTCACAGCACGTACCATCTGCAAACGTTATGTATAATTCGTAAGGTATAAAGTTATGTCTTTGATGTAAATTGAAAAATTATTTTCTCATGATTGCTTTATTTAATGTTGACAATGTATTTTATTATAGGTCAAAATATGTTGTTTCACTATCCAAGCTTACCGGACGAAAGTGGAAGATGTATTTAAGTGGGTTGTTTCACAATGTTATTGATATTTTGGTGTACTCGTGGATATATGATTGTATAACAGTAGTCATAAAGGAAAATGAATTGTAGTTTTTCTTGGCTTTATATCCTAAAGCTAAGGCATGGTGCTTTTTTGGGTCAATGGCAAAAATGTCATAATGTGCCACCATGGTATTGTTGCTGTTCATTCTTGTTTTCCGACATTGGGGCTTTACTATTTTAAGAATTTGACCTCTTCTTCCAGATATGGAGGATTTTTGTTGGTTGGTTATATTCTGTTTCCCTATTAATGCAACAAAACAATCGCAAGGGTTAAAACCAGAGAGATATATCAGTCCTGTGGAGAAAGAACTTGCTAGTGCAGAGACAACATGCTGGTGCATCAGCTGTAGTAAGCAAGCTGCCATTGGTTCAGAGGTTGTTGTCAAAGTTACTAGTTGTTTCAGTCGCTTATTGCTGGGAGAAATTCAATAAAGATGATCGGAATTTTGTTTTAATTCGGTCAAGATTTTGTTGCTAAAAGTTGCTGAAAATGTGAATGAATTTGTACAACATAGCTCTTATGGTTGTCGAAAATTTTTTATTAGCTTTTCTTTTAATTCCTTTGGTTAGATGTATGCTGAATTTTACCAGAGAACTGTACTGGTTATGGAAAATGTATTCTGATTTGTACAAGCTGAATGCTGAATTGTTCTCTAATTCATTTGGTTAGCTTCCATTATAACATAAAACCATGCAACTGGCTTTAGCACATTGTTTATAGCTTCTTATATCTGGTAAGCTAGCATCTAATATTCAAGTGAAAGCATATGACAGGAAAAGAGCAGCATGTTGAACCCAAACAGCATGTTGAACCCAATAATGACCAGCATGTATCAAAAAGAAAGGTCAGCATGTTGAAAGGCCAGCATGTTTAGAGCTAGCATCTAAAAATGACTACTGAAATATCAAAATGAAAAGCCAGCATGTTGAACCCAAACAGCAAAATGTAGTCACAATGTTAAAACAGGAAATAGCATTACAACATGTTTTTACATCCATAGTAGTCATATATGTACAAATCTATCTCATGTTACTCGTTCCATAATTATCTAGTAATCAAACTGGTCGTTTCCTTTTTGCATTGCTTTCCACGCTAACTTTTTCCTCCCGGATCCTCACGTCCATCGAAATTTGGAGGTGTTCTTCGTCGTTTATTCGAATTTGAGATTGGAAAGTACGGGACAAGTCTTCAACTATTTCATTCTTCACATGGTTAATCAAGTTTGCACTACTATGTCCAGATGGACCGCTGGAGTCTTCTTTGGCAACCCACTCCCAAAAGCCGCAGTTGTTACTGCAACAAAGGAATAATTTTCCTTTGTTCTCATTCTCCTTCTCCACCACAAAATATTTCTCAAATCCTTGTTGACATCATGGGCACTGACGTTTCTTTTTACAATCAGCAAAGAAGTGATCTTTAGCTCTACAACTGTGACATATTCCAGAATTCCTTCCAGGCATTCTGAGACGGGAATCAACCACCAACAACGAAGATGAAGTCAGTAACAACGATATACAACAATGATATGTACTATGTCAACATAACATGAGCACAAATATATTGGCCATAACAATGACTACCACAAGTTGCAGGGCAACTTCTCAACACAACGAAAACTGTGAATTAACCACATTTACAAAGAAAATCTTCTGCAGAAAACTGAATTTATGAAAATGAACAATTCGTAGGACATTGTCAAGTGATGAAATGATAACAATGACTCTTCCTTCTATGAATTACTGTAGTGTCATGGAAGTTGCAATTTTCACAAAACACAGTCAATTTTCACTTCCTTGTAAACTTAGTTAGCTTTCCTTTTATACAATCCACACAGGTGTCGAAGTCAGAGAAGTCTAGAGAGAAAAGAATATCAACTTTTTCCAATCTTTCTATTCTATCACTTGAAATGTGACCTAATCACTTATGCCACAACATAGAGGATAATTCATGGATTAAAACCCTTTTCTTTTTTTGCAGAACTTGCATTGATCATTTTTTGTTATAGTTCCTTTAGGACCACTAAAATTTTTATTCTACTAATTTCAGTGGAACTTTTTACCCTTACGCAACTTAGACTTATGGTTATGAGAAAGCCCCTTGTTTTATGATGGCTGAAAAGCTAATTGCACGATTTTAATAGTCTTACGCTGCATCGTATACTCCTTTTGGGCACACACTGCAATAAGGTCATTTAAATCCCATTTATCTCGTTGAGCATTTTAAGCAACCTTAAACTTATTGAACTGGCTAGGAAAGCTATTTAAAACATGATAGCCTAGGAAATGTTCTATAATGGGAATGTCAAGAGCATTCAACTTAGAAGATATATTTATCATCTTCATAACGTGCTCTCTAATTCCACTTGTACCATCATATCTCATATTCATCAATTTGTCCATCGGATCCTCAATTTCGACTTTATCAAACTCAATAAATTTCTCTCCTATGACATCCATAAAACTTTTGGCATTTTCATTATCTGGGATAACACCCATAATGGAATCTGATACAGAACGCTTAATAATTTTCAAACAAGGCTTATTAGCTCTTTCCCACTTTTCATACTCGGCTACATATTCAATAGTACTCTTATCTGCAGGTCTCTCAAGCATTTTTCTCCATTGCAAAATCCAAGCCCAAAAGACCAAGTGCTATGACCAAGTGCTATCTCTATATCTCGTTTCCATCTCACATAATTATTTTCAGTCAAGGTTTCAATGGCGGACAATTAACTCAAAAGAGATGAGGTATTATAAACGGTGGAAACATAAAATATCATCCAAACATAATGCATACAGTCATGTGGATGATAAAATATCGAACGAATTAACATGGGCTATTAATTATATAATCCGTAATTAAATTAAAAGCATATGAATCTCATTACGGTAAGAGCCTAGATGCATCATCATAAAGTCACCTTTGGGCCGACAATAGAACATGCTATAACGTACTCCTAAAACACATCATATAGCTAGTTTACAAAATTACATTGGTTTTTGAAACACCAACACCTTTGGACAGAAAAAAATTTTGAGACCAGAGTAAGCTTGTTAACCGCCTTATGCCTTCTTCCAAAAATATCACCATAATAACACTTTGGGAAAGATATTATATGCAATAAATCAAAATTATTGCGCAAAATATATATTTTGTTGCGGTGTGCCACTTTGGCAACTACCGCCCATTTTTATTTCAAAATATTTCTCTTTGTAGGAAAATAAGGATCGTCTCAAAAATCCATGAAAAAATCAATCATACAACAATAATTATGCAACAAATCATAATTGTCAATCGATGAAAGGCAAAAATTCATGTGATTAAGAGACGAAACTGGCAACAAAATTTCAATATATATATATATATATGAAAGATAAAATTTAAGCGCACAAATCATATCAGCATTTAAATACACAAATATTTTAACGAGAATGTAAAAGTCGTCAATTTATTTATTTTATTTATTTATTTGATATAATTTTAAATGGGTCAATAATAAAATTTAAATTGGATCAATTTTAAAATTTAATTGGGTCTAAATTAAAATTTTTGGGGTCAAATCTTAAAAAAAAAAAAAACTTAAAACCCCTTTACAAATTAAAATTCAAAATAATATAGAAATTTGCGATATGACCCTGATTCAAATTACAAATAGACCCTCCAAACTTCTCAAATTGCTAAAAAGGCCCTTGATATGATCCAGGAGTCGAGCCCGACAAAGGCGAGTGCGAGATGAGATGCATTGATAGTCAATAGCGGACCAATGACGCGATCAAGGGCAAAACAAGTGAAACAAGCGATGGGATTTCTCATTCAAGAAACCATTGATGGAACCATGTTCGGGACTCAAAATTGAGCAACTTTCATGTTCAGGTTGAAGGCCGAATCAACTTGGATCAATTTAATATCGAAGGCTGAAGACGGAGGAAAATGATAAGCCTATACGACTGCATAGGCTTATGAGGCTTGCGATCGCATGGAGGCATACCAAAACTCAAGATGGGATTTTTAATTGAACCATGCGACTGCATGGAAATACACTTCGCGGTCGCATAGGCCATTTTTTTGGCAAATTTCCTATTTTTGGTATTTTTTTATATTTTGTTAGATTTTGATTTTTTTCCATTCCTAATTATTCTAGGTTGACTTTTACACGATTTTTACCTAGTTTTTAGGTTTAGCATAAATAGGAGTTTTCATTCAATTGTTAAAAACCTTTTGACATATTTGATATTGAATTAAAAGTGAGGCGTATTATCTTCTTTTCATCGTTCTTCATTGAACAACTTCGAATTTATCAAGTGTTAACTTGTGACGTTCAAACGACCGAATTTAATTTTTGGATTGTGTGATCAAGGGGTCTTTCAAGCATCGTTCTTGTTGGATTTTTTGGTTCGACTATCTTTTGGGTTAATCCTAAACTCTTGGATTAATTTGGCTTTCTTGGGTTCGTCAATCTCGTTGTAGGTTTCGTAGTCAACGTTACTACGATGTTCGCATCAGTTGGTATCAGAGCTTTGGCTCCAAATTTATTGAAGGTTATATCTTTTCTTTATTTGTTTGAGTCGTTAATTTTGTTTTCTTAGTTTCTTCCTCAATTTTAATTGTTCTTTCTTAGTTTTTCTTCGTTCTTGTTTTTCTTTCATCGTTTCATTGAGTTGTTGGTAGTTTAATCATCTTCTTTCATCAAGGAGTAAAAAAAAAAGAGTACAAAAAAAAAGTTAATGTACATTCGAGGTACTGTTCACAAACAAAAAAAAATTGATATAATTATTGTTTGATTTTTTTTCTACTAACAACAATTCCTACATTGTGTTTGACTTTGGGATATTCAATTGGGTTCGATTCTTTCAATCTTCTATTGAGTCTATTCACATATTCTTGTCAAAACATTCATCTATTCCACTTATTCAAGTCCTTTGAGTCTCGTAGTCTTCGATTAATATTTGGTTTGTTTGAATTCCCGGTAAAACAATTGATTTAGTTCACTTGGTTCTTTGAAGTGCTTGGAGGGAGACTTTGAGTAGTAAAAGGCCGAGTGGTGAGTTTAATAGAAGGAAAAAGCCATAGTGATTGTTTTTCGAGTGAAATCTTTGTGAGGCATAAAAAAATTGTGTGATATGATGTCGGAAAGAGAAGGTTCTAATTCAAGCCGAAACGGTAATGATAACAATGCATCAGAGGACATGATAAAGAGGTTTGAAAGGGTACTTGATGATTTTAGGGAGAAGGTGGATAGGCAAGGGGAATGGATGGCTCAAATAGGTACTACAATTGCTAATCTTAGCCGGGGACAAGTGGAGATATCTAATGCTGGGGGCCGGGTAGGCGTGAACCTAGGAGAGGAAGGCGGGATGAGTATCGTAGTGATGAGGATGATTTTGATGAAAATGACATTGATATGGGTCGAGCAAGGTATAGGGGCAATAGGATGGAAAGACGGGGTAGAAATAACTTGGGAGATGAAGTAGATGAAAATTTGGGGAGTATTAAAATGACTATTCCGCAATTTAAGGGGAGAAGCGATCCGGAAGCATATTTAGAGTGGAAAAGGAAGGTTGAGATGATTTTTGAGTGCTATAATTATTCAGAGGGGAAAAAGGTAAAATTGGCGGTGCTTGAATTTGTGGATTACGCGATATCTTGGTGGGATCAAGTACTTACATCACGGCGTAGGGGTTGGGAAAAACCAATTAGCACTTGGGATGAATTGAAGGTGTTGATGAGGAGGAGGTTTGTTCCGAGTCACTATAATAGGGAAATCCATCAAAAATTGCAAGGTTTGTACCAAGGATCGAAAAGCGTAGAGGATTCTCACAAGGAGATGGAAATTCTTATGATTCGGGCTAATGTGGAGGAAGATCGGGAAGCTACCATGGCATGGTTCTTGAGTGGGTTAAATTGGGATATTGCAAACATTGTAGAGTTGCAACACTATGTGGAAATCGAGGACATGTTACATGTGGCAATGAAGGTCGAAAGGCAATTGAAGAGGAAGGGGACGTCTAGGCAACCATTAGGTACTTCGACTCCTAATCCAACATGGAAATCGAAGTGGGATGACAACAACAAAAATGGGGCTGCACCTAGAGGTAAAAATGATTGGCAAAAAGGCAAGGATGAAAACGCTAGCAAACCAATACCAAAATCGGAGGCACAACCGTCACTCAATCGGGACATCAAATGTTTTAGGTGTTTGAGAACGGGGCATATTGCTTCTCATCAACACCTTCAATTCGTCCCAAGTGCTTTAATAGTTACTTGAGTTTGAACATCTTAAGGAATTGTATGAAAAGATGTTGATTTTTCGAATATTTATTTGTCATGCATTAAAGGGGTGGTTGATAGGTTCTTTAGGCATGTGGAGTATTTATTTCGGGAAAATAGGTTATGTGTTCCTAATTGTTCTATTTGAGAGTTGTTAGTAAGGGAGGCACATAGTGGTGGAGTAATGGGACACTTTTGGGGTTCAAAAGACTTTAGATGTATTGAAGGAGCATTTTTATTGGCCTAAGATGAAAAGTGATGTTGAGCGAATTTGTAGTCGATGCATAGGTTGTAAAAGGGCTAAGTCTAAGGTTTTACCTCAAGGTTTGTACACACCTTTACCTACACCTAATGAGCCTTGGGTTGATATCTCGATGGACTTTGTTTTGGGTTTACCTAGGACTAAGAGAGGTTGGGATTCTATTTTTGTGGTTGTGGATAGGTTCAACAAAATGACACATTTTATACCATGACACAAAATGGACGATGCCATGAACATTGCTGAGAACGAAGGTCCAATGATTCAAGTGAGTCAAATTTTCTAGTGATGGGATATTACCTGTGAAATTATTATAAGCTAAGTTTAGAGCATGTAGGCCCTTGATCTTTCCTATAGAACTTGGAATATTTCCTTGAAATTTGTTGTTTGATAGATCGATGCTTATATGGGCTCTTTGGATACTCTTCAATCCATACTCGAACCCCTTTAATAAAATAGTTGAAAGAACAATGGAGTATTCAACTCCTGTTTCATTTTCACTCATATTCATCATGGCTTTGAATTAATCTAAAAATTCAATTGGGAAAACACCGGTGAACTTATTGTGTGACACGTCAAGAATTCGCAGCTTTGGAAATGAAAGCTTTACCTTTGAAATAGGTAGTATACTTTAGAATCTGTTGGCCTTCAATATAAGGACTCGAAACTCTGGAAGAGTTTTCATCCAAAAGGGGAATGAGCCACTTATGCTATTGTTTCCAGTATCTATTACTTCAAGCATCCTACAATTGACTAATGACAGTGGTAATGTCCCACTCAATTGATTTCCATATAAGTCCAAATACTGCAGTTCACATCCCTCTGGAAATATTCTGGGAATGGTGCCATAAAAATAATTATTCTTCAAATTCAAAACTTGCAATCCTTTACTGAGTTTAGAGACTTTTTGGGCAATCGTCCACTTAATTGATTTATACTTGGATCCAAAGCCATGAGTGACTTCAAATGTCCAACCTCAAGTGAAATCATACCTGTGAGATGGTTAGAGAAAATATCTATGGACCTAAGTTCTGTTAAATTCTCGATCGTTGGAGGTATTTGACCTAAAAGCAAGTTGACTGAAAGGTCTAGGAAGAACAAGTTTTGCAAGCTTCCTATCATTTGAGGGATATAGCCAGAAAATCTATTACCATTCAAATTAAGAAAAGTGAGATTTGTCAACAAACCAATTTCAAATGGTATTTCCCTAGAGAAAGAATTGTTATGAATCCACAACAATGTTAACTGGGTCCAATTTGTGAAAAAACTCAAGCAGGATATGACCACAAAAATTACTATCAATGACAACCAAACCAAATAATTTGGTCAGATTGGTTAAGGATAAAGGCAAAGATCCCGTAAGTGAACTCCCACTTAAAATCAATTGGGTAAGGTTTGTGCAGAGGCCAAGCTCAGAAGGAATTGTGGAATTGAGTGGGCTATCGATTAAGAGACGAAAGAGTTGAAGATTCCTAAGTTTACCTAAAGATGATGGGATCTTTTCTTCGAATGAACTTAGTTCAAGGATTTTCAGATTTGGCATGGAGCCAAAAATATCAAGAATTAAGCTAGAGAAGTTGTTCGAGGCTAACCCAATACCTTTCAATTTAGTCAGTTTAGTAAGAATTGATAGTAAGGAGCCCTAAAATGAGTTACCAGTAAGGTTCAGATATTCAAGCTTCCCCAGATTGATGAATAATGATTCTGGAATTTTAACAATAAAGTAGTTAAGCGACAAACCAAGATAAGTTAGGTTTTGAAGATAACTGATTTGATAAGGAATCCACCCATGGCAATCATTATAACAGAGTTCGAGACTTGTGAGCTTTGGAAATTAAGCAAAATGGAGTTGGTCAAGTGTGCCTTTAAGGCCTACACTTGCTAAGTATATCTCAGAAAGTGACACCTCAATGTTGCATACAATTCCTTTCCAACTATACAGATTCGTCATATTATTGAGGACCCATGAATCAAGAGAATAATGAGATGACAAGGTATTCTTCTACCTTACAAGAGCCTCTGCTTCTGTTCTCTTGGATGATACACTGTTCAGTGCAAATGGAAGTGAACTTAAAAGGAAAGTGTGAAGAAGGAAAACAAAGGCTTTTTTAAATGTTTCCATGCTTATTGTTCTTGGTTTCATTACCATTTCTCCTTTCTTCTTTTATAACAGTGGTAAATACAAGACAAGAAAAAGATGATGTGACAAATATGTAGGCTAGCCAATGAAAATAAATAGAAAGAAAGAAAAAAAGAAGCCTCATTTTTTTTGTTTGATATGTACATTTGCTCAACAATTATTTTGGTTTAAATAACATGGCCGAACTCAAAAGACTAGAATGCAAATCATCGTCAACAGTTATTGGATTTGAATGATGAGAAAGTAGAATATCAAATGAATTGCTTCATCATACTTTTAGATAATTCTTTCAAGACATAAGTTACAAATATACCGTATATTAAGTTGTATTGGGCTTGCGTAGTAAAGCTATTATGATGCTCCAGTCAGTCAAAATTAGTTTAGAATTAAGTGTCACAAAGCTATTTTAATGATAGTCTTCAATAATTTTCATCGAACAAAAGAGCACATCAAAATTTTAGAAGAACCGAAAGAATACAGAGTCTTGATAATGTTTAGCACTTTTGTGGTTAATATTAAAACCTTGTAAGGAATTCAATTCCAGAAGATACAAAGGAGAGAAATTCTTGGAGTTGGTAGTTGAAGATGACTAAATAGAAGACTAAGTAAAAAAAATAAAATAAAGAAAAGGCATGTGAAAATTAATGTATATGAAAAGAAAGCTACTTAATTGCAATGAATAATCTGGAGCTTATATTTATATAATATATAAATCCATGTCACTAACCTACAATTTGTTGGACTAATGATTTAAAATATACTCAATGTCTCATTAGTAGACTAGTTCTAGGAGAGAGAATGAGATATTTTCTTCAAGTAATTTTCTACTCATATATATGAAGAAAATTTGAGACTGCGTCTTTGATATTTACATCAATTTTATACCATTGTTTATACAAAACTTGGCAATTCCATAGGTACTGGAATTATGAGCATTGGCGGAGTTGGGTATATGTGAATCATTGGACTTTCGTTCTCAACAATGTTTGTGGCATCGTCCATTTTGTGACATGGTATAAAATGTGTCATTTTGCTGTACTTATCTACAACCACAAAAATAGAATCCCGACCTCTCTTTGTCCTAGGTAAACCCAAAACAAAGTCCATCGAAATATCAACCCAAGGTTCATTAAGTGTAGGTAATGGTGTGTACAAACCTTGAGGTAAAACCTTAGACTTAGCCTTTTTACAACCTATGCATCGACTACAAATTTGCTCAACATCACTTTTCATCTTAGGCCAATAAAAATGCTCCTTCAATACATCTAAAGTCTTTTGAACCCCAAAAGTATCCCATCAATCCACTACTATGTGCCTCCCTTACTAACAACTCCCGAATAGAACAATTAGGAACACATAACCTATTTTCCCGAAATAAATACCCCTCATGCCTAAAGAACCTATAAACCGCCCCTTTAATGCATGACAAATAAATATTCGAAAAATCAACATCTTTTTCAAACAATTCCTTAATATGTTCAAACCCAAGTAACTTAGAACCAAGAGTAGTTAGCAATACGTACCTTCACGACAACGCATCCGCCACCACATTTTCCTTACCTTACTTATACTGAATGACGTATGGAAACGTCTCAATGAATTCCATCCACCACGTATGCTTCTTGTTCAATTTACCTTATCCCCCGCAAGTGATTTAGTGACTCGTGATCGGTGTGTATTACGAACTCCTTCGGCCATAGATAATGTTGCTAAGTCTCCAAAGCTCGAACAAGTACATAAAGTTCTTTGTCATATGTAGGATAATTTAAAGTAGCTGCACTCAATTTCTCGCTGAAATATGCAATAGGCTTCCGATCCTACATTAAAACTGCTTCAATCCCTATTCTTGATGCATCACACTCAATCTCGAATGTTTTGTCAAAGTTAGGTAATGTCAAAACAGGTGCTTCACACAATTTACCTTTAATAGTATTAAATGCAAGTTCCTGTTCATCAACCCAATGAAAACCTACACTCTTTTTAACTACTTCTGTGAGTGGTACGATGATAGTGCTAAAATCTTTCACAAAATGCCTATAAAAACTAGCCAAACCATGAAAACTCTTAACTTCGGTTATGCTTTTAGGTGTCAGCCAATCTCTAATAAATTTTATCTTTTCATCGTCTACTTCTACCCCATTAGCACTAACCACAAATTCAAGAAATATAACTCTATCCATACAAAAAGTGCATTTCTTAAGATTAGCATAGAGTTGTTCTTTCCTTAAAATAATTAGCACAGATTTTAAATGTTCCAAATGCTCTCCTAGCTCTTTGCTATAGATTAAGATATCGTCAAAATAAACTACAACAAAGTTTCCTATAAAGGCATGTAAAACATGATTCATTAAACGCATAAAAGTGCTAGGTGCATTTGTGAGTCCAAACGGCATAACCAACCATTCATATTAACCATATTTAGTTTTAAAAGCCGTTTTCCATTCATCACCCTCCCGTATACGAATTTGATGATACCCCCTTTTTAAATCGATTTTGGAAAATATGCAAGCACCATGTAATTCATCAAGCACGTCATCTAATCTAGGTATAGGGTGACGATACTTTACCGTTATGTTGTTGATAGCCCTACAATCCACACACATTCGCCATGTTCCATCCTTCTTTGGCACAAGCAAAATCGGTACCGCACAAGAACTCATGCTTTTCCTCACATATACTTTGCTCATTAACTCCTCCACTTGTCTTTGAAGCTCCTTAGTCTCCTCAGGATTACTTCAATAAGCCTGTCGATTTAGAATGACAGCTCCGGGTATGAAGTCAATTTGATGTTCAATGCCTCGAATAGGCGACAATCCACTTGGTGCATCCTCCAAAAATACATCCTCGAATTCTTACAACAAAGACTTAGTCAAACTAGGGAGGGGTTGGTTAGTTTCCTCAAAATTGAGGAGTGATTCCTTATACACAAACAAGATCATCTCTTTTCTCTCAACTACCGCCCTCTTCAAATCACTCTCTTTTGTAAAAAAATTCGCTCGCATTTTCTCTCTTCTTTCGAAACACTCTCTTGTGATTGCTCTCTCTTTTTCTCTCTAGTGGCTATCTCAACATTTTCTCTCTTTTTCTCACCACTTTGTCTCATTTTTTCTAACTCATTGGCCCTCCTCTCTTCCTCACTTCTCAATTTTAATTGGTCCTCATAGACTTGTGCCGGTGTTAATGGCACAAGAGTAATGGTCTTTCCATCCTTAATGAGACTATATCGATTTTTGTACCCATCATGCATAGCCTTCCTACCGTATTGCCATGGTCAATAAAATATGTCCCGCTTGCATTGGCACCACATTATACACTAACTCATCCTTATAAATCCCAATTGATAAATTAATTAACACTCTTCGATTCATCCTCACCTCGCCACTCTCATTCAACCATTGTAATTTATAAGGTCTCGGGTATCTCAACAATGTTAAACCCAACTTTTCTACAAGAGTTACGCTAGCTACATTATTGAAACTACCACCATCAATTATAACACTACATACCATATTGTTGACGTGGCATTGAGTGTGGAAAATGTTCTCCCGTTGCAACTCCAAGTCATCTACTTTGAAGTGAGTAGTAAGAGCTCGTCTCGTGACTAGTAGATCCCCAACTGGCCCTTCAACTTTTTCTTCCTCACTAACATCTTCCAATGCCGGTATGTCATCAAACTCGCCATCACTATCGCTCACTATTCCTGATTGCGCGACGGTTGTGCCTCTGATTTTAATATTGGTTTGCTAGCGTTTTCATCATTACCCTTTTGCCAATCACTTTTACCTCTAGGTGCAGCCCCATTTTTTTTGTTGTCATCCCACTTCGATTTCCATGTTGAATTAGAATTCGAAGTACCCAACGATTGCTTAGACGTCCCCTTCCTCTTCAATTGCCTCTCGACCTTCATTGCCACATGTAACATGTCCTCGATTTTCACATAGTGTTGCAACTCTACAACATTTGCAATATCTTGATTTAACCCATTCATGAACCGTGTCATGGTAGCTTCCCGATCTTCCTCCACATTAGCCCGAATCATAAGAATTTCCATCTCCTTGTGATAATCCTCTATGCTTTTCGACCCTTGATACAAACTTTGCAATTTTTGATGGATTTCCCTATAATAGTAACTCGAAACAAACCTCCTCCTCATCAACATCTTCAACTCATCCCAAGTGCTAATTGACCTTTCCCGACCCCTACGCCGTGATGTAAGTACTCGATCCCACCAAGATATCGCGTAATCCACAAATTGAAGCACCGCCAATTTTACCTTTTTCTCCTCTGAATAATTATAACACTCGAAAATCATCTCAACCTTCCTTTCCCACTCTAAATATGCTTCCGGATCATTTCTCCCCTTAAATTGCTGAATAGTCATTTTAATACTCCCCAAATTTCCATCTACTTCATCTCCCAAGTTATTTCTATCCCGTCTTTCCATCCTAACGCCCCTGTGCTTCGCTCAACCCATATCAATGTCATCTTCATCAAAATCATCATCATCACTACGATACTCATCCCGCCTTCCTCTCCTAGATTCACGCCTACCGGGCCCCTTAGCATTAGACATCTCCATTTGTCCCCGGCTAAGATTAGCGATTGTGGTACCTATTTGCATCATCCATTCCCCTTACCTATCCACCTTCTCCCTAACATCACCAAGTACTCGTTCAAACCTCCGTATCATGTCCTCCGATGCATTGTTGTCATTACCGTTTTAGCTTAAGTTAAAACCTTCTCTTTCCAACATCATGTCACACAAATTTATATGCCTCACAAATATATCACTCAAAAACACTCAATATGGCTTTTTCCCTCTATTAAACTCACCACTTGGCCTCTTACCACTCAAAGTCTCCCTCCAAGCACTTCAAAGAACCAAGTGAACTAAATCAAATATTTTAACAGGAATTTAACAAACCGAATAATAACCAAGAACCACAAGACTCAAGAAATTGAATTAGGTGGAATAGATGATCATTTGACAAGAATATGTGAATAGACTC